TGCAATAGCCCCTTGCAGTCTTCCTCCTGATCCTCCTTGTCCAGACCTTTGTGCAATAGCCCCTTGTAGTCTTCCTCCTCATCCTACGCTGTCAACTTGCCTAGAGGAGAGCAATGGCCTCCTTGTCCAGACCTTTGTGCTCACTCCCTTTCTCCTCCTTTCTCCACTGCATTGGATGCTACCAATTAGACCCTTCTTGTAACTCTCCTCTCTTGGTTTCCTGACAGTCCAGGATTTTTCTTCTTCTTTGGCAATCCAGTGTCTTTTTACTTTGTTTTGTCCTCTGTCTTCTCCCTAATTGCCAGATTCTCTAGCAGATTCCCTCTGCGTTTTACTTGAAGGACTCTCTGGGTGGATTAGCACATCCATCTGTATGACTCCCATTGATGTATCTCTGCCTGTGACTTTCTCTTGGCTGTCTGAAATAGTCTCCTATTTCTAGCTGCCTGCCAGACAGCTCCAGATAGATTCCCCACTGCCACAGGAAACTGCTATCCACAACTTATCGTAACACTTTCCCCCTTCAGGCGACTGTGTTGGTGCCCTTGTCCTCGTTCTTTTTATTGCCAGTGCTATTTTTCATCTCTTCCCAACGTCTCAAAAGTACCTTTGACCCTCCCTTTCTCCGTCATTTCATGTGAAGTCAGCAAGTCCTGTTGGTCCTGCTCTCATTTTGGTGTCATCTTTTTTAACCTGTCACTGTCAGCCTAGTCCAAGTCCTTATGACTTTATACACAGACTGTTTTTGGATTTTGTGTTCTGGCTGATCTCCTTGCTTTAACCGTTCCCCGCTTCCTTCTGTTTCCCTACACTCCCAAATTAATCTTGTTGATAATGACTTTCTCCATCATACTCTTGCTCAGGCGCTGTGGTGGCTTCCTAGTGCCTTAGGATGATGGGCAAATGACTCATTGTGGCACTGGGAGTCGCTCTGTTGGGGACTTTAATGTATGACTGTGAGCCAGATTGTTCCATTGCCAGTTACCATAAAGTTGACTCTGATTCATGGAGACCCCATGTGTGTCACAGCAAAACTGTTCCATACCAATCCCTCATCCAGCATAAATCCTCCACTCTTGTTGATTGTTCCCCCTTTATAGCCCTTCAAAATACCATACTCGGGCCACCCACTGAAGCTTTGGAATTCTCTCTGAGCTCCTCTTGTCCTAACAAAAATTTCACTCAAAATTAAACCCAGCTCAAGAGCCACTTCCCATATGCTGTGTTTTCCAACTTCTCTAGCCTGGTTGGTTTCAACTAGCTTCCTTATACTTTCATAGCCCTTAGAATCTTCATTGCATACTTTCTCCCTTTGGTATGTATTACATGTATGCTTTCATCTGCAGTATTCTTGCTTCTTCAGATTTTGTAACTCCTTGCTCTAGGCTATATAATGATTGTTTCTTTGCCTTCTCCTTTACACACTGTACCCCCCTTCAACCCAAACACACACGCACATACACAAAGGCACGTTCTCTCTCCCACACTGCTCATCCAAATTTGGGGCATTGTCTCTGTCTACCTTCTTCTCACTCACAGTCTCCATAGCAATTAGGAGCTCTTCTTTCTTTTCTTAAGCTTTCACATCCCCAATAGGGGAGTTGGTTCCTACAAGAACAGTAGCCACAGAAATCGGTTCCCTCAAATCAGAGGTTTACCTCAGCTAGCAATATCTCGTTTTACCCTACATTCAAAGTCTGTTGCTTCAATTGCTCCCCTAGGTCCTGACTACTTCACTGGCCAGGCAGGTGTCTGAACTCCTGTCCTCATGCTGCTTTTCCCACCTAGAATATGGAGCCCCTCTGGTTCAGTCCTCAGTCTCTTTTGGTTCTCTCAATGGAAGACATTACTTACCGTAGAGCCAATGTCATGTCCATATACGTGATGTTCAGGTCACTATCTCTAATGTTAGCCCTTGCGCACTCTAGCCTTTGCGTTTCGGGCTCAAAGCAAAAAGTTACATTTAAAGTGAATTTCTTTCTGGTAACTAGTGAAAGCAAGCTTGGGGACAGAATTTTTGCAAGGTGTTACTTAGCTACTGGCTTAGTTAAGCTTTTTTCAATGCTGATAAGTTCTAAGAGGGTTTTGAGAGTTGACACATCAAGCAGTCGCTATCTAAAGCATAAGGTGGGAAGGTGGCTACTTACCCAGTACTCTTGCCACAAGTAGCTCTGCCAACAGAAGCTTTGGCAGAACCTTGAAGCAGAAGCATTTGAACTCTGGGGTGAAGACTTTGCTCATTACTTCCCATAGGATGAGCACTGTACTGTGAAACACAAGGTTTGTGGTTTGAGCCCACCAGTCACTCTGCGGGAGGGAGAAGATGAGGCTTTCTGCTCCTGCAAAGATTTTTCAAACCTCAGAAACCCCATATCCGGTCACTATAAGTCACAATTGAGTTGACAACAAACAGCTAAAACCATACACACAGCACTGAACTAGATAGTCCTAGTGATGCACATCCTGAGGAGACACTCAGAGGAGTAATATGCTTTGTACCTTGGGCATCTTTCTGTAAATCTCACCACCTTTTCGATGTCCCCTTTTAAAATGCAGCTACCTCTAGGAAAGATAAAGCCATACTGAGCAGCAGGACATTTAATAAAGACGAGTGGCTAGCGTGATGGGAACAAGAGCTGTGCATTAGGTCAATTCCAGAAAGTAAGGATTGGGGCAATTAGGGAAGATGGGGTTCTCAATAGAGAGGTGACCACAAACAGTGTTCTTGGACTTCTCACTTTTCTTCTGTTGACACTGTACTGGCTATGCCAAATCAGCTCTCTGGCCTCCATTGACCAACATTCAGCATCTCATCTGAAATGACACATGAAACCACAACTTAGGAGGGAAATGTGTTGACTGTGGTATGGGTAGGAGGCCAAAGAACCAGAAGCAGGTAGGCACTGATGTCACAGTGTGAATGCTGTGTCCTCCTACATCAGAGAAGTCTTGACTGTTGTACGTATATATGTAAACTTCCTGTCTGAAAGGCCTCCGTTAACAAGTGTGAATGAGTCGTAAACCCCAAATGTGGTCCAATCTCACATTCTGCTTTGACCTTTTCTATACTTCTTTTGTATTTAATGTTTAGATTGTCAGAATGGTGAAGAATTTAAAAGGCAGTCCAATAACACTGTCGATAGGTGATGGTGCCAATGATGTTAGTATGATCTTGGAATCCCATGTGGGAATAGGTAAGAAACCTACTGAGATAACAGCTGTAAGGTATTGGTATTGCTTGTAGGTACAGTGGTCTGATGTTCTAGACATAATGTTTTGGTTTCTCATCTGGAACTTAAATTTGGGGATGAGAAATGTTAATCGAATGAAGGGCCTCATATGATCGTGGAACATGTGTATCCCAAGATCCTACCAATAGTGGGGCTATAGCAATGCCACATGAGAGGCTCCTTTCATATTGATCAGGTAAAGTGAATTTCCCAACCTTACCGGCAACACAATTGATTGTTTATCTTTCCCTTTGACAGCATGCATGAAATTGTATTGATTTTCCTCCCCTGACCAGGCCACCTGCTTATGTTGCTGCGATATATATTTTGAGATATTTAACTGTTTGGGACGAAGACATAATAATTGGTTGGCTAGTTTTCCACATGGCAGTATTTATGGGTAATTTGGGCTATAGTGCTGAAGTTTTATGTTGACACACAACGACAGCTTTCCTGCCTTCTCCATTTTTTGTCCTGCCAGGCAGCAAACCAAACAGCCCAGCAAGATTTTTTTTTTGTGTGTGTGTTGTTGTTTTGGGAGGGTGGTAGCAGGGAAGAGATATGGATTTCAAATCTTGGGCACACTGTACTACAGTTTGGATTTGCAAATTCTTCCTTCTGTTTAGAAGTTGCCCTGTGTGGTGCTGAACTTAAATTTTCCCTACCAGCTATCTGGTGAGGAAATGGCCTCACACTACTGTAGCTCATGGGATACTTTGGTTTGGCTACTAGTTAAAGTTTCATTCAGTGAAAAGCTTTTGCCATGTTTTCATTGTAACTCTTCAGTTTTGAGTTCTTACAACAGAAATCCCAGGTCCTCAAGTTGCCTTAATCCAGCATCTAGTGCCCCGCTATGCACAATTAAGGATTTCCTACTGATTATGCTTATTTGTTTCATATCATATTACAAATACATAGTTGCAAATTGAAGTTCATTTTACATTGCATTGGCAAGTCTCAGTGTTACTTTCAAGAAAGCACTTTTTGGTTTAGAATGTAAAAGGTAAAGTATAAAGTGGAATTACAACATTTAAGCAGCTTTAACATATTAAATTTTAAAAAGCAAAGGCTTGCTTATTTTTCTATAAAGTGCTCACCCTATAGAGATGTGCTCTTTTTAGGTATTAAAGGCAAAGAAGGTCGCCAAGCAGCCAGGAATAGTGATTATTCTGTTCCAAAGTTTAAACATTTGAAGAAACTGCTGTTGGCTCATGGGCATCTATATTATGTGAGAATAGCACACCTTGTGCAGTATTTCTTCTATAAGGTATGTGATACTATAAGTGAAAACCTGTGAATGTCTTAGTTTTAAACTAAAATGTATTGAGTATGATTTGCCCAAGTGTACAGCTCCACGAGTTTTGTCATTTATATACATCCATGCAACCACGATCCCGATTACAAAATGGAACATGTGCCCCTCCCGAATCATTCTCCTTGGTTTCCTATCCCACGTAAGCACAGATCTGATTTCTCTTACTACATCATACATAGAATTAGGTAACATATAGAGTAGATGCAACGCATACTATATCGATTCACTTGGTCAGCTCTACAACTCTAAGTAAATAAGTCATATGTATTCTTTTATGCCTGGCCTATTTCGCTTAGCTTTTTAAAAAATATATATATATTGATTTCTTTTGCTGTTGAGCATCATCTGTGCAGCACACCGTACACCACTGCCTGTAGTCTTAGAGTTCTACAACCATTCTCACATTCACATGCATTTCCTGCCCTTTAAGTTTTCTAGCTAATCTTTTGGGTTGGTTTTGCCCATTTGATCCCATATATAAACCAGAAAACCAGACTCACTGCCATTTAGTCAGTTCTGACTCGGTGACCCTGTAGCACAGTCAGACTGCTCCATAGGATTAATGGACGAAGCCTGCTACATCTTCCTTCCTCCTGTGCAACTCTTTGAACCATTGACTTTTCTGTAAGCAAGCATCCTACCGGCTAACCCACTGCTATAACAGAAATAACATAAATGGGTGACTTTAGCAAACCGTTTAGGAAGAGAAGAATATGCCGTCAAGTCAGTTCCAACCCATAGTGACCCTATATAGGGTTTCTGAGATTCGGTTGGTGGGTTTGAATTACTGACCTTGAGGTTCAAACTGATGTTGCAGCACCACACCAGGACTCTGAAAGTCCGAATTCAAAGTGCCCACTGAAGGAGCTCTTAACATAATGGTTACGAGTCAGGCTGCTAATCTCACGGTCAGCAGTTCGAAACTACCAGCTGTTCCACCGGAGAAAGATGAGGCTTTCTGCTCCTATAAAGATTTACAGCCTCGGAAACCCTGTACAGGGTCACTATGGGTCGGAACTGACTCCATGGCACATAACAACAACAACACTGAAGGGGAAGGCTTTCTGTTCTGTGGACTCCGCTAATCCTGCTTGTTAATATAACAAAGTTATGTTAACATAACATAAAAAACATAAGTCCTAAGTGGACTTATAGCCTCAGGCATGTTGTTGTTGTTAAGTGCCAATGAGTTGTTCAGACTCATAATGACCCTGTATAAGGTTATCAAGGAGCAACTGGTGGGTTTGAACTGCCAACCTTGTAGTTCGCAATGCAGTGCGCCACACCAGGAGTCCAGCCACAGGCATTGAGGTCAGGATTTACAACACAGAATTTTGGGAGACATTATTCAACCCCAGACACTGTTGTTACTTAGTTAACTTAGGTTGTCCCAGGTTTGGTTAGTCTTATTTTCTGATATCACATGAAATTCCAGGCTCATCTTGTCCCAAGGCAGCTTCATAGTTTGTTGGAAAAATTCCATTATCTTTCCATCCCATTTTTCCACGAACTTTTTGAAGCCCCCTTGTGTATTCCCTGCCTCAACCTTGCATTCAGACATTTCTCTGGAATACAAGTTTTTCGTTTGAGAATGGTATGTAGAAACCAACATCTGGGTGGTAGTTGTGCCCATTGCTGCTGGGCTGAAGTTCTAGGCCTTCTCAGTAGACATAGGTCGGAAATAAATATAGGCATACATGCAAATCGCATCACGTCTGTGCGTATATGTGTGTGTACATATATATATACGTGTTGTTGTTGTTGTTATGTATCATGAAGTCAGTTCCAAAGCATAGTGACCGTGTACAGGGTTTCCAAGGCTGTAAATCTTTACGGGAACAGAAAGCCTCATCTTTCTCCCACGGAACCACTGGTAGTTTTGAACTGCTGACCGTGAGATTAGCAGCCCGATTCCTAACCACTACACTACCAGAGCTCCTTATACATACATGAGGGGACTTCAAAAATTTTGAGGGACACTGGACTAGAATGGTAATGGAATTTTTCCATGAACTTTTTGAAGCTCCCTCATGCACATTCATTCCATTGGCATCAAAAGTTTAAATGTGAGCTCAGCTTGTACTGATAACTTTAATTGCAGTGTAATACCACAGGTCTCGTTGTAGTCTTTCCCTTTTCCTTATGTGTAGCTCCTTTCTCCAACAGCAAGAAACCTTACTCTCAGTAGCCACAAGATATTTGCTTATTTGCTCAATCCTAGAATATACTTAAAGCAGTTTCAGAATGGTGTATTCATACTCCTGTGAAAACCAAACCGACAAACTTCAGCACACAATTTGTGTAGTTTTTTCTGTCTTCAGTTTGAGAGTATGTAGTTGAAAAAAATTTTCCCCTTTACTTAACCTCACTATGGTTATGTTACTTATTTGTAGTACAGTTAGGAGAATTTGGTTTTGTTTGTATTCCATTTTAGCTTCCCCCCTCCTCACCAATCCAGAATTGTTTCAATTTTTTTAAGCATGTGAAACATTAGCACTGTTCTAAAAGTCAGATCTGTATCAAGAAGTATACTCGACAGTGTGCTCCTCAATCTGTCAAGATGAGTTTTTCTGAACATGTGACTTAATGAGTTCACGTTTAAAAAAAAGAAACAGAATCGTCCAAAAATGCCTTTTCTCCAGCTTCTCCTAATCTAAAATGAAATTTTTGAATTGATGTGCAATTGTCTGTAAACATACTAACAGAGAGAAGTAGTGGAAATATTTTTGTTTTATGGCTCTGTGATCTTTATATATATATATATATATATAAGATTATATGGTAGCGTAGTAATTACGAATCGGGCTGTGAACCGCAAGGTCAGCAGTTCGAAACTACCAGCTGTTCCGCAGGAGAAAGATGAGGCTTTCTGCTCCCGTAAAGATTTACAGCCTAGGAAACCCTGTACAGGGTCGCTATGAGTCGGAACCGACTCCACGGCACATAACAACAACAACAATATCATTTTTAAGGATCCCTGGTGGTACAGTGGGTTCCAAGGTGGATTGCTAACTGTGAAAGGTCAGCAGTTGAACCTACCAGCCACTCTGAAGGAGAAAGATGAAGCAATTTGCTTCAGTAAAGATTTCTAGCCTTAGAAACCTTCTAGAACAATCTACTGTGTCCTACAGGGTTGCGGTTGCTGTGAGTCAGAATCAATTCAAGAGCAGGGGATTTGGGGTTCATTTGTTTTTTGATTGAGATAAAAGTTTAATTGAGATAAAATTAACATAATGTAAAATTTGCCATTTTGAAATACATGTGATTCAGTGATTTTGCATATATTCGCTGTGATGAACATACATCATCACTGTATAATTTCAGGACATTTTCACCACCCCTAAAAGAAACCATGCATCTATTAGTAATCAGTCAAACTGCATAGTTTTGCACTTGGCCTTTTTTACTAAATATAATGTGAGCCTTTTCCACACCCAGTTAAATATTCATCTAGAACCTGATGGTTGTACAATATCCAAAGTTAGAGAGATCCTGGATATAAATTTTTATCTTCCTGGGAATAATAAAAATGATCAATTTCCTTCTTTATAATCCTGTTTGTAGGTATACTAACAAGTATATGTGCCACTTTTAAATCATTCCAGCCTTTTATGGTATTTGAATTTCTGTGATCAACCCCAGATCTTAGTAACTTAATTTTTTGCTAAAGACTATAATTGTGAACCTAGATTCACAGGTGTCCTAAGACCATTCCCAGCAGCATCAGCTGGTAGGTCTTAGCATCTCCATTTAAAATAGGAGGAAACGGGCTCAGAAAGATGACATAACTGTGACAGAGCTAGAGCTCCACCATTGCTATTCAAACTGATCTTGTGGTCCAGTGCTTATCGGACAGCGCCACACTAGGACTCCATCTCCACCGTGGTGGTGGTGGTGGTGGTGGTTATGTGCCGTGGAGCTGGTTCCGACTCAGCGACCCTGTACAGGGTTTCCAAGGCTGTAAATCTTTATGGGAGCAGAAAGCCTCATCTTTCTACTGCGCAACAGCTGGTAGTTTTGAACTGCTGACCGTGAGATTAGTAGCCCGATTCATAACCACTGTGCTACCAGAGCTCCTTCATCTCCACCCTAGGTTTCTTCATTCTAAAGAATCCAGGATTCTCTCTACATCATAGCTAAGGCCTTTCAGATGGTGCGCTGAGTGTCCAAGCGCCCTTTGATGGTCATATGGTTATTTTCTTTTTATCTCCCCTAGTAATACATCGCATGAAGAACTGTCCCAGAGATCCGCCTTGAGATCTTACCCTCTAGAGGCTTGGTTTGCCTCTAGGTTTTGACCTGCAATTCAAGCATTTGCCACCAGATGGAAGGAATGTTCTGTTAAGGAAGGTAGAACAAAGACACATTAAAATGGTTAATGTTGACCAGTGACTAAGTAACTGACTTGTCTCCGCGCCCAGTTAAGGGCGCAGACACGTGTCATTCTATAAATGATGCCCTCTGACTTCATTTGGGTTTCTATTCCCATGATCATCTTAGTATTGACTTAGTAGTTTTCCATTTTTTTACTGCCTTTTGAAAACCAGTATGATTTCTTATGTTCTCAGCCCTCTTTGTCTGAGCTGAAAATAAAGAAGTTTTGACCTCCACTTATCTTTATAATTAAAAAAAGATTGTTAAGGGCTAAACGTATATAACATAAAACTTGGCATTTTATCTGCTTTCAGGTTTGCAATTGAGTGACATTAATTGAATTCACTATGCTGTATAACCATCACCACTATTTCTATGACATTTTCATCACCCCAAACCAAAACTTGGTACCCCTCAAATAACCCCACTTTCCATCTCCTGTCTACGATATTTCATATACTTAAGATCATAGGAGATTTGTCCTTTTTATATTTGATTTTCTTGACTATGTTTTCAGAGTCTATTAATGTGTTGGCATGTATCTGGACTTAATCTCTCTTTAGAGCTGAGTTGTTGTT